CAGCTGGGGGAGTAAATACCCCCCCCCCCCACTGCAATCACCAGTTTTTTCTTTCAAAACAAGAATGCAGCTTTAAAAAAAACTGAACGAGATACGCCATTCTAAAAAGATAGGGGGATTGAAGGAGAAAACAATAATAGGAGATAAGGTGTCCATTCTTCTGTCGTCACTTTAAAACCTCCTATACATACTGGACCCTGTTTCACAACGTAAATCCAAGAGGATGTATGTCCACCTGCTTTGTGTCTTATTTAGGGGAAAACTCAGGTTGGGTTCATCTTACTTTTTTGTCCTCTGTATTGTGCTACATGTATGTTACTGATATTCGAGAACCTGACACTCGCTTCAAAAACAAAGTTCCTGCCAGGAAATGATATACTTATTTCACTTTACAGTATACAATCTTTGTCATGTGAAGCTGGTTGGAGTGTCTGTCACCTCTTGTCATTTTGTGGCCAGGTGTGTCATTTGGTTTAATTCTATTAACTTTCCCTCCACAAATGTCTGCTTCCAGTTACCATTCCTTTACTTCTCTAGTCAGGCAGGTTCAGTGAGAAATGTTTCTCTTAAAGCAGCGGCCTGATGGGAAAACTTCATATTGCAGCTTTTGGAAAGAACATAAAACAGCAAATATTTTGGCCAATAAAACCAAAACTATGAGGTAAAGATGCTAAGATGCTATGCGTAGCTGAGGAGAACTGCACAGTCAGGTGATTCTCTGTGGGTTTATAACTGTGACCCCAACTAAATGTGGTCATTTCTTCGACGCACAAAATTCTTTATTATTCCGCCGGGTTATTTTGCGCCTCTTCTGCTCCAACATTCCACATCGCAGAAACTCCGTTCAAACATCAAAACGTTCAGCTCGGTCGGGAATCGATGGCTATTACTTTTCTTATTCATAACTTTCATAATTACAGAGATACATCCCATAATTCATCACATTTTTAACATGGAAGTCAATGGAGAAACTCTTCAGACTTGAAAAATCTTCATGCAACTTCAACTGCTAACTGTTCCTTCATACTCTCACTCAGAAACCTCATTCCAACTTTAAAATGTTACACATCTTTCTGACATTATTCGTGTAACACAACTTTTAAATCTGATTCATACTTTTAGAGATATTAAACATTGTTCAGACCTTGGTAAAGAGGCCTTCTTCAGATTTAGAGTGCGTGATGTCACAGCTAGAGTGGAGGACAGATTTAATTTTGCCTTCATATTTTCTTTTAAACCTGCCATAATTCCCAAACCCTACATTCCTGAGACATAATCTTTCATGAGAAACGTAGGAAAACATCTCGTAGCTTGAAAAATAAAAAATAATTAAGCAAAATAATTCAACAAAATGCTTGAGGGCATGAAGTGACAAAAACGTTCAACATGTCTCCATTAAACCCCATTGTAAGTTCAGCCTCATCTTTCCCCACCACAGCAGCCGCACACCTTTAGTTAATCTGCCAAAAAGGCCACATTATTAACCCGAAAGTACACAAAAAGTACACTTCAGATGCTCTAGTTCAGGGGTGTCAAACTCAATTTCATCGCGGGCCACATTCACATAAAGGTTGCACTCAAAGGGCCGGTTGTAACTATATAAATATATAATATATATATATAAAATAATGTATTATATTACATTATTGCCTCTGAATTGGATTATTATCGGATAGGATAATAACTTAGTAATTAACTACGTCTGAAAGCAGAAGTCCAGGGCAAATAATTGCAAGTCTCTTCAGTGTGCATGTCACAAAACGAGATGCATTGTGGGACATGTAGTTTATGGGCAACCTGCTTCTGTAAAGTGGCATGTAACCGTATAATAAACGTATTATATTCTTTACAAGCTCTTGCTGGGCCACATAAAATGAAGTCGCGGGCCGGATTTGGCCCCCGGGCCTTGAGTTTGAGACCCCTGCTCTAGTTCCTTGACATGCTTCACGCTTTGAAATTTCACCGATATCTGTTACGGTTCTTCAACAAAACGTTCACATGTAACAGGTTTATCTCTCATTCAGAACAATTCAAATGCTCTCCTCTCACTGATTACTGCACATCACCATGGAAACCTCTGATCTCTGGACACGTTGTTAGCTCAAATATAAACACCTGTGTCATGGAACACAATGATGTCATCACTCCAACTGACATGCTCAGAGCAGCAGATTTCAGATAATGGTTAATGGTCCTGCCCTCAACAGCTCTCCGTCAATTATGGGTGTCTTCATATGCCGTTTCCATGGAAACGCATCCCTCGCCATAAAACACGATGTCGCTGTAACTCCAATGGACACGGTCCGATCGTCCCCGAAACTTTGCTTGTATATCACCGGTCCATGCCTCAACAGCTTTACGCCAAATCTGAGATCTCACCACAGGCTGTTGCCATGGAAACACATCCCTCGCCATAAAACACGATGTTGTCGTAATGCCTATGAAAAGGGTCAAAACAGCACCAGACATCAGATAATGGTTAACGGTCCAGCTCTCAACAGCTCTACGTCAATTATGGGATGTTATCATATGCCGTTTCCATGGAAACGCATCTCTTGCCATAAAAGACGATGTCGCTATAACTCCTATGAAAAGTGCTCAAACTTCACATGTGTGCTAACAGTCCAGCCGTGAAGACATCTACGGGACAGTTTTGAGATTTCACAATGAACACAATGCTCACCATGAAACACAGTTTTCTCATAACTTCAGTGAAAATGCTCCAAACGGCCCAAAACTTCACAGGTTTGGTAACGATGCAGCCATCAATGCATCTAAGCGTATTATGGGATGTGATCAAATGCTGTTGGCATGGCGACAGATCATTCGCCATCAAGTTAGTTCAAAAGTTTGCAGTTCAAATATTCTGCTGCTTTTCCAAGCCTTTTTACTTTCTTTTCTTCTCTCATCACACATTCAAGCCCCCAGTGTTCATGTATCATTTCAATCTAAATTCTTCACTTTCTTCTTACACATTACATTTCAGCATAGTAGTTTAGCGTCAGTTTTTCAGCATAAAGCATTCCCACTAGCAATTTCTTCAGGAATTGCATTCTCTAGTTGTATCTATTGTACTTAGAAGAATATTGATTCAAACAGCTTCTCTCACAAAGCAATCAAACAGCTATCAATTAAAGGTGGGGTAGGTAAGAATGGAGAAACCAGCTCGAGTGCGGTAGAATTTGAAAGTACGCAGCCGAAAAAAATCTGCCCCTTCCTTCAGACTTCCGGACCGTCCACACAGCAGCGTTAAAAAAATCTTGGAGGTGGGCGTATCTGAAGCTTGGGGATTTTTTGCGAGCAAGGCACCAACAACCAATCACATGAATCTCCCGCCCGCGACATACGAAGCAAAAAAGTTTGAAGTAAACTGGATAAAAACTCCCCAAACAGGCGAAAACATACCACTGTCTCTGGCCACCATCCCTCCATGCCTGGCTCCTCCGGTTTGTATCCCGGTAGGTAAATAGGGACTGGTCATAAAGCACCGGGTGATTCCCTACCGCTAATTTCTCCTCCATTTTTTGGAATATGAGGAAATGACCTGCGGTATGTCTCTCCCAGCATACACGCCGTTTGATTGGCTAGAGCTTGAACTGTCAGATTTTCGTACACGGGATTTGATTGGCTGACGCTTCCACCTCAGCTTCAAAAGTTGAACATTGCTCAACTTTGAATCCTGAAAATCCTGAAAATCTCCGCTCGCCTGCCCACAATGCAGTTCGGCGAAAAGTGAGGCAAATGACGTCACCCCATTCAAAGTGAATGGGCAGAAGCGTTTCAAGATTTTTTAACACTGCTGTGTGGACGCTCCATTACAGTGCCCCTCCTCCAACACACACGAACGCGCACATGACCAACGAGGTCACGAGATAAGTTTGTGCACGAGATGGAAGGCTGACAGGCAGGTAGGCCATCCAGTTATTTTAGCCGGGCCGGCTCAGATAATTGGTCTTGCTTTTTACAGTACTACGGCTTCCACAGATGACATTTTTTTAATGTATTTATTGTCAAAGCATTTAATGTATTCATTGCTATCGGGATGTTAAGAGCATTCCATGGAATATAACAAAAAGTGGTTCTGAAGTGAATTACCTACCCTACCTTCCCATTATTGTAGCAGTTACTGCAAATGCATCGACAAGGTTCAAGGATCAAGGTCAATTTATTGTGATTGGACGACACGGGGTTATGCAACCAAATGCAGTTGTAGTCCATTTACAGTAAGCTACATTCGGAAAAAAAAAGCTAGAGGAAAGAAGATACTCTGCCGTCGGTTTTTGTATCAGCTTTAAAAAAATATGCAATAAAAAATAATAATGTTTTTTCTGCAAGGGATTGCAATTTCTAAATAAGATGAATGAGACGATAAATACGACACATGATATGTCTTGAAATGTCGACCAGATCATATTCCAGGAAAACACGTTGTAGAGGCCCACATTCTCAATCTGTCAAAAGTTACTGTAAAGTGTGTGTGTGTGTGTTAGAGAGAGATAGAGGGAGAAAGAGAGATGTGAAACATTCTATAACTTAGTAACATCAAACTGTGTGTGTGTCCTTGCATTACTATACTTGTGGGGACTTCAATCTGTTTACACAGTCACATGTGGGGACTTGCCTCCCTTATGGGGACAAAATGGAGGTCCCCATGAGGGGTATCATTAATTTTAGGGTGAAGACTTGGTTAGGTTTAGGGTTAGGGTTAGGCATGTGTTGGTTATGGTTAAGGTTAGGATAAGTCTCCAGGAAATGCATGTAAGTCAATGTAATGTCCCCTGAAGTGATGTATACATGGTATGTGTGTGTGTGTTAGAGAGAGATAGAGAGAGAAAGAGAGATGTGAAACATTCTATAACTTAGTAACATCAAACTGTGTGTGTGTGTGTGTGTGTGTGTGTGTGTGTGTGTGTGTGTGTGTTTAACGAGTTACAGTAGTACTGCCCCCCCTGCTGGCAGATTGTTGGAACAGCCACTAATGTTTGAGGAAGTCAATGAAACACAATTTATAATGACATTTATTTAACAAAAGTGATGATGAAAAAGGTGAATAAACTCAAGATGTTACAGCTGATATTTCCGGGAGAGCTCCGTCACTCCTTCCTTGTTTTGGGTTTCGGGGCTGAAACACACAGAACATATAATTTGGTTATAATTAGGAAGAGGAGAAAAAAATACAAATAAAGTGTTTAAATTGTGATAAAACATAAAGAAAATTCAAGACAAGAAATTGCGTAATAAAAACATTGCAATTAATAATAACTAAAATAATAAATGTTATATATAGAGTAAAAAGGTACTAAAGACTCTATACAGATACATTTTGAAATGTATGAATAAATCATGGAAACAACACACAAACTCAAAAAGAAGAAGAAAAAGGAGGATTGGTGTTGAAACAATGAGAGAAATGGTGAATTATTTCTAAAAAGTGTAAACAAGAAATATAAAATAGCAGATGAGAACAGATGACGAGGAGGAACGAGAAAAGGGAAGAAAAAGAGTTTCTGTTCACCGTTTGGATTCTCCTGCCTGTAGAAAGTCTTCAACATCTCCACAGCTTCTTCTGCTCTGTGACCTGAGACACACTGAACACACACACACACACACTATTAACGGCATATATATATATATTGCAGATATAGCACATATTGCACATAGTTGATTGGCCGTCAGACACACGTGCAGAAACGCAGAGGAAGAACTCTGACCTTAAATGTGTTTCCGGTGAGAGGTAAATCTGCAGAGGCGACGTCCAGCACGGACCCACAGCCTCCGAACCGGTCGTTCCTGCAGCCGAACACGACCACCGGCAGTTCTGACACAGCGTCAAGGAACACACACTCTTATATATATACACACACACACACACACACACACACACACACACACACACAGAGAGGGCCGAACACGACCACCGGCAGCTCTGACACAGCATCAAGGAACACACACACTAATATATATATATACTGTATATATATATATATATATATATATATATATATATACATATACACATATATATATATATATATATATATATACATATACACACACACACACACGTTGGGGCAGGATACTGAAGAGGCGCAGGGCAGCAGCACACATGATGCATGGCTCCACGGTTACGTACAGCGCTGTACGCTCACACACACACCTCACATCCAGGTTACTATGGCGACACCAGTCCTGCAGCTGATCCAGGGCGACCATCTCAGCGTGACGTGTGGCCTAACACACACACACACACACACACACACACACACACACACACACACACACACACACACACACACACACACACACACACACACACACACACACACACACACACACACACACACACACACACACACACACACACACACACACACCACACACACAACACACACACACCACACACACACACACACACACACACACACACACACACACACACACACACCATTTGTTACAATTCTTTTTTTTTGCTGGATAAATGCAGAACTCCCCTTTAAATGTACGTTTTTAATAGGGGAACTCTGTGTATTTGCATGATTTGAGTTTACCACTGATGTAATGGGGAATATAAATACAGGAGCATTGCCACAAACTATCCAATTATTAAGTTATTGCTTTGGTTTTTACGACTTACTGACGAGACAAAACATAGATATTTGAATCCATGCTGGTCTGCATGTTAGGTAAACTCACAGATTTCTGCATAAAAAAACAGGAAACAGGAAAAACGTTTTCTTACATTTTTGGTCTCGTTGACTTCGTTCCTCCCTTTTCCCACCACTTCATGGTTGTAGACGAGCAGACATCCGACCGGCACCTCTCCGTTCTGCAGAGCCTCTCTCGCCTGAAGAGACACATACAGCAGGTCAACAAGCAGCAAGTACTGAGGACAATCAGAGAGTGTTACACAGAAATATAGCACACAGAAGAAGAGGAATTCAGACAGGGTACAGTCACTGACACTTATTTATAAAGATGAGGGCTGCAACAAGTATCAATGGTTTATTTACTGCTTGTATTTATTATTGTTATCGTTTTCTTTCTGTGATTTTTGTGAGTTTTGCAATTTTAAAAGAGTCAGTTTTTGCACTGTACATTTTGTTAATATTAAGAAAAATGTATTTCTACTTTAAAGATAATAGTTTTGTCTTAAAAGTGTTTAAACAAGGAAAAATATGGAACTTTTTCGTTAATTAATTATATTTGTATTTATCATCTTTCAGGTAAAATTATGATTCCCTGATTACATATTTTTTAAATAATTTGTTATACTTGTTTGGTGGATATGTAAGGAAAGCTTAACGTGTATTATGGTAATTAAACCATCCTGCAGAACTCCTGTAAAATCAGCACCAAGCTAATAATAGGTGGCAAGACATTCCTGTTAACACCCTTAATGTTTTATGTCTAAAAACGTTAATGAAAACAACAGTTGTAACCAGAAATCTTCAAAAACAACTCTAAATTGACGATATTTGGCTGAAATGTTTTAATCACCATATCAAATGCGCTGGACATCCACTTCTCAATCTCCTCTTCACTCGGACAGAAACTCTCCTCTGTTCCCATGGTGACTGCTACTTAACTCTACTTTAATAAAATCATACTTTAGATGATGATAAGGATGTTCGTAGCTTTTTTTCTTCGCTCTTTAGTAACGACTTCTTCCGCTGTAGTTTACACGCGGGGGATGATAATATTAGACGGACCAGTTCAAGACATGAACAATCGATCGAACTCCACAACGTTCATGCGGATGCGTTCGATGAGTCAAGCTGACTGTAGTGAGATGAATGTAAACCGGAATATGAGACATTTACTCCAACATCCTCATTAATACACTGACTAAACGGGCAGTGTGTTAAGGAGACATTTCTGGAGAAAGATATCCAGTCAAAATAGAGATTCAAACGACAGTAAACAGGAAAAGTTTTGACATTTTCTTCCCGTCAAAACAGCAACAGGGTGACGTGATCTGTCCCATGTCAGCTGACTAGATCCGACCAATAGAAACAGGTTTAAACCAAAAAAGTGTATTAAATCGAGAGATGATATGAAGATGTATAGTTTACACAGACACGTAAATGAATAAATATAGAAAATGTAAGTGGAAATAAATGTAGAAATACATTAAAGATATATAATGTGTGTTCTGTTTTATTTTCAACTTTCATTTATTTATTCCTGTATTTATTTCCACATTAAGTTTTTCGGTTTTTTGTTCACATTTATTTATTCTTATATTTTTTATATTCCTGTATTTATTCCTGTATTTATGCATTCCTGTATTTATGTATTACTTATGTCCTTCGTGTCGTATTTTGAAATCAAGAACCGGAAGTTGTCCTCTGTGTTCGATTTAGCTTGACTGACGAACTTTGGCTCTTTTGACAGTTAGCATGTTAGCTAGAAGTTGCTAACTAGCCTCTAAGTCCTCAGATACAATGTCAGTAAACTAATCAGCACAAATAGTTTGTGGAGTTGAAGTTTCTGAACATCTCACAGCCTGAGGATGTTTTCATCTGTCTGGAACTTTGTGAAACGCCACAAAAGGAAGTTTATTTTCACCGGAGCTTTATTTGGAGGTAATGTTAGCATCTGAGCTAGCTCTTAGCTTTAGCAACATGCTGCACTACACTGAAAAATGTTGATGTGTGATATTTATTTGACTTATTGAAAGAACTAACGCTTTAAAAATATGTTTCAAGTATTTGTAAGAATTAAGTAGCATGTATTTGCTATTCGGCATACCTGAATTACCACAATTTCCCACATTAAGATGACAATTACTGATGTTATCAGACACATAATCAGTTTCAATGTTACTTCAAGACCTGTTGTAAGACCAAAAGACAAAAGCTACATTAATTGAAATAAACATTGTGTAGGTTGCTGCTTGTATATCACATTAAAAGTATTTCAATCGTTTTGCTATAAAGTTATTTGAGGTTTTGCAAGTGAGCGAAAAATCCTTAAATTACTTAAAAGTTGAATGGAGTCTGGTGTGAGTGCAATGCAATGTTAGCATATTGACTTGTAGCTAAGCTCTTTAAAGCTAGGTGAGTGTGAACATTGGATAGCTAAAATGCTAAACAGTGACTTGCTAATGACTATGTAATAATTAGTGATAGCTAATGAACTACTTCAAATATTTGTAGCATTAAGTAAGCATGGGAAGTCATTGAAAGTGTGTTGATTTCATTCATATTCATAGGGTTAGGGTAAGACTTAAAGAATATTAAATGATGACATTATTAATTGGTTGATGAATGCAGGGAAAGAGTTGAGTTTGCTTGCAAGGCTTCATTTAAAAAAAAAGAGAGATTAATAAAGACTCATAAGATGTGTTGCTCATTTTACTATCTATCTCTCTATCTATCCATCTATCCATCTATCCATCTATCCATCTATCTAATACCAAATTGCAATTTAAACCTATTTACTGTTATTGGCATCTACTCAATATGAAATGCTGGTGGTCCTACATGCAGTTCGAATTGAACAAAGGGGTTATTTTCATTATTATTTTCATATTTTTTATTATCAGTTATTTACACTGTTTTATGTTTCTTGTGGTCCTCCAGGAGTGTACTTCCTGGGTAAATATGCCCAGAAGAAGCTCAGTGACATGCAGGAGAAGGAGGCGTCAGATTACATCTCTCAGGCCAGAAGACAGTTTCACTTTGAGAGCAACCAGAGGACATGCAACATGACCGGTGAGACTTCATACATCTCCTTAAAAAGACTCGAACAAATAAGGATTTCATGTTTGCTTTCCACATGTTTGATTTGACTCTTTGTACTGTGTGTGTGTTGCAGTGCTGTCCATGCTCCCTCCTCTGAAAGAAGCCATCACCAATCAGCTGAATTCAGAAAGCCTCACTGCACTACTCAAGGAAAAGTGAGTATAAGTGCTTTTTACTGTAAAATAGTAGAAGAAGGTAGTTTTACTCATTCCTATATACGTTTGATTCTACGGGGAACATACTTTGTTAATGCTAAGACATTATATATGTTGTTTCTATATTTATTGATTTTTGTACTAAGAATCCATGCTAAGGTGTTACATTACTGTTTGCAGAGACATATGACACACTCACAGTTTTGATGATTAAAAAACAAAACTCTAATTTTGTTTTTTCGCTTCGTCTCACAGACCAGCCAATAAGCTGGAGATCTGGGAAGATTTAAAGATCCTCAGTAAGTTATTTTCCTCCCATCAGACATTACTAAACATTATAATCGCTGTGTAATGTCTCTCATGTTTTGGGGTTTTTCAGAATCTAACATTTGATCTTGTGCAGGTTTCACGCGCACCATAGTGGGGGTTTACAGCACCTGCATGCTGGTGGTTCTGCTCCGAGTGCAGCTGAACATCATCGGAGGATATCTGTACCTCGACAACTCTGTGGGCAAGAGCTCCCCGGTGAGGAAGGAACACAACATTCATAACCTTCTGTTAAATACTGTCTTAAAAACAGCACTTAAAGTAACATTACAACTGATTATGTGTCTGATAACAGCTATAGTCCTCTTAATGTGGGAAATGGTGGTAATTCCATCAATCTGTTTACATAATTGGAGTTAAAGGGGACCTATCATGCAAAATGCACTTTTGTACGTCTTTTCTACATGAATATGTGTCCCCGGTGTTCCAGGGAACTCACCAAGTGTCAGAAAACACAACCCTCTCTATTTTCCTCCATACCCAAATCTCTAAAAAAGGGGCTGCAACGGATCTAATAAAAACTGATCCAGATTTGAACACTGTCCTGACGTCAGGACGGTGGCGCTACGGCTATTGGGCCAACTCCACCAATCAGGAGGAGACAGCCACGGCCATTGCCGTTCGAAAGCGCTGGAGACGCTGTAGTACATATGCCAGGCCTGTAGATGGTGCTGTTCTCACAGAATCAACCCTTGCTAAAACAGAGCTAACATTTTCTAATTGAGCGAAATGAGGCATGGCTAAAATGCATGATCTGTTTGGTATTTAAAAAAAAAAAAAGTATAAATATGCCTTATATAGGTATGGTCCTACACTATATTATTCAAATATAGCATGATAGGTCCACTTTAAGTGTTGATCTGATGATGTTTTATTTGTTTATTTAAATATTTTACATGATATTTCAACAGCTGGAGGCACTCTCTGTACCTCTAGTGTACGCAACACACTAGCTTCTTATACTTGAGTCTCAGAATAAGATCCACACTTTCACAGTGTCGTGTGATTGGTTCATTTCCTTCATACAACATATATAAAGACACAATCAAATGAGTTCCTTTGAAGACTATGGGAGTTAAAACCAGTGGGAGATTAGATACATAAATAAATAATTCACCATTTCTATGAAACTGGACGAAGTCACCGTAAGAGTTTTGCTGTTGTTCAAAAAGCCTACAGGAAGTTTAATTGTAGGCTTCTTGAAAGTCTGTGTGATTCTCTTAGTGATTTTTCTGGAGGACCTTGTTTATCTCATGATGTCTTTAAAGATTGTGTTTTAAAGGAAGCTTCCCAGGAGTTATAATTGAGTTTCAGAGGGGAAACATTTCAAAACGTTCATAAAGTCAAGGTTTACTTTTGTTTAGAGTTGAAGGTGTTGCAGAATATTTTGCACAGATTCAGATGTCTGGGTTGTTCTGTAAAAACCCCAGAAAGGATTTTTTAAAATAAAAATAAAAAACACAGCAAATTAAGTAGAAATATTTTAGAATTATTTCAATATTTCTGTTATTTGTGTGTTCCCTCAAAGAGTCCTATGGCTCCTCCTGAAGTCCAGCAGCAGTACCTGTCCAGCATCCATCATCTACTGGGAGACGGTAACACACACACACACACACACACACACACACACACTCACTCACTCACTCACTCACTGATTTGTTTTTTGTCTTTCCCTGCAGGTTTGACAGAGTTGATAACGGTAGTGAAGAAAGCGGTGCAGAACGCTCTGGAAAGGTGAGTGTCTGTTACTGATCATTCATGTCTCTTCTTCATCAACATGTGTCCCCTCTTCTTCATGTCTCTTCTACATCAACATGTGTCCCCTCTTCTTCATGTCTCTTCTACATCAACATGTGTCCCCTCTTCTTCATGTCTCTTCTACATCAACATGTGTCCCCTCTTCTTCATGTCTCTTCTACATCAACATGTGTCCCCTCTTCTTCATGTCTCTTCTACATCAACATGTGTCCCCTCTTCTTCATGTCTCTTCTACATCAACATGTGTCCCCTCTTCTTCATGTCTCTTCTACATCAACATGTGTCCCCTCTTCATCATGTCTCTTCTACATCAACATGTGTCCCCTCTTCATGTCTCTTCTACATCAACATGTGTCCCCTCTTCTTCATGTCTCTTCTACATCAACATGTGTCCCCTCTTCTTCATGTCTCTTCTACATCAACATGTGTCCCCTCTTCTTCATGTCTCTTCTACATCAACATGTGTCCCCTCTTCTTCATGTCTCTTCTACATCAACATGTGTCCCCCTCTTCTTCATGTCTCTTCTACATCAACATGTGTCCCCTCTTCTTCATGTCTCTTCTACATCAACATGTGTCCCCTCTTCTTCATGTCTCTTCTACATCAACATGTGTCCCCTCTTCTTCATGTCTCTTCTACATCAACATGTGTCCCCTCTTCTTCATGTCTCTTCTACATCAACATGTGTCCCCTCTTCTTCATGTCTCTCAGTAACCTCTCTTGCCAATCAGCAACCAAGGTAACCCCCCCCCCCCCCTTATCACCTGAATCTCCTCCTAGAGCACCATTGAGTTCTTTGTAACCAAATGTCTCTCAGAGGGGCGTGGGGAGGGGCTCCTTATTTTCATCTAAAGTAACAGACAGAGAATCAGCACTTTGGAAACAGGGCTGAAACAGAGGGGATTATGGGTAATGCTGCAATGATCTGTTTGGTGTTTCAGCCAATCAGAGACATGTTCTGTATATATCTGAGACCTGTGATATATTGATGAAAAACAGTTTAATAGGAGACCTTTTTAAAGGTTTGATAGAGGCTTTATTGTAACGTAATAATGTACTTGTTGTCCGCAGCGTTCCTCTGAAGCAGAGCCTCTCCCTGATGGAGGTGGAGCAGCAGCTCAGCTGGATCAGAGCCGAGATCGAGGCCGGCGAGCGCAACATGTCCTGGTTCCTGCTCGCTGACGACCAGAACGCCCTCGCTGACCAGGTCACACACACACACACACACACACACACTCACACTCACACTCACACTCACACTCACACTCACACTCACACTCACACTCACACTCACACTCACACTCACACTCACACTCACACACATACACATACACATACACACTTAAATCTCTCCGGTCATAATATCTGGTAAAATGATTTCCTCATAAGCACACGGGTCATCACTGTGAGGATAGCAGTCTATGGTTATGAGGCTCTCATTTTCCCAACAGTCTGCCAGCTCCTCAAGTGATCTCATCCCTAAATTGCCAAAAAGCTAGTCATCCCCGGATTCATAATGAATAAAAACAGCGGGACGCCTTTATTCAAATGTTTTCAGACACACAGGCCTTGTGTTTTTTCATCTGTTTTATTTATATGTGTTTTTGCATTACAAGTCAACAGGACATGTTTTATTATAAATAGCGTCCATGAATAAAACGTGCATATACATGTCTTCTTTTTGTAGCCTTCCTATCAATTGTTTTGAAGCTCAGTAATAAACTCGGATACGTCCGTCACGTTGCCTGTCATGATTTTCTTGAGAAAGTTAATTTAAATGAATCTCCTCTCCTCTGCAGGCCTGCGGGCTGACAGAAAACGACGTGGTGACGATCAGACTGTTGAACGAGACGAGGGACATGTTCGACAGGTAAACGTCTCAACTGTGTGTTAGTGTGTGTGTGCACCTGTAGACGTGTGTGTGTGTGTTGTGTGATTCTGACGTGTGTGTGCACCTGTAGACGTGTGTGTTGTGTGATTTTGACGTGTGTGTGTGTGTGTGACTCCAGTCCAGACTTCAGCACCGTCCTGAACTCCAGTTTTAATCGCGGTTTCTCTCGACTTCTGGATAACCTCGCCGAGTTCTTCCGTCCGCCGCCCGGTGACTCCGCCCCCTTCGCTGCTTCTGATAGGTCAGCTGCTTCACAAGATATAAATCACACTTTACTCGCACTTGGATTAGGACTACTGTTTGTTTTCTTTGTACTGTTTCTGTTTCTGATTTTATGGAAAGCGTCTTTGAGCACTAGGAAAAGCGCTATAAAAATCCAATGTATTATTATTATTATTATTATTATTAATCGTTTCTTATTCCAACAGAACACATTTTAGATATTTTTTTAATATTTTTTTAATATATTTCCAGTCTTTAAGGGCTGTAGAAGTTTGATTGAGTGTGTCTTACTTAAATGTATCCTGGGAGAAATGTGGCTTATTTATCTTTCTTGGACTGTTGCTTCATTTTATCATTTAATTTCACATAAACATTTTTTATAAATATAACAAGTTAGATTAAAGAAAATGTGCACACTGTATTACAATATATACAGTGGTGTATTAGTATTAATAAGACACAATTGCAGAGTTTAGAAGGTGTTGGCTGATGTATTTCCTAGTGCCAGTCAATTAAGTTCTCTATATTATACAAACAAATAAACGCAGCCTCTTCAAATATCTAGTTAACTATCGTACCCTTTAATTGTAAAACCTTTAAACACTCACACATATGATGTTTTTTAAGGTTTTGTTGTGTGACTTAAAAGAGGAAACAGACCTTCATGTTGACATTGACCTGTATATGACTTATTGTGTGTGTGTGTGTGTGTGTGTATCCAGTCTGTCTGCAGTCAGTCTGCCGCTGGCTAAGATCATCCCCATCATCAACGGGCAGATAAACTCCATCTGCAGTGAGACTCCCAGCCACTTTGTTCAGGTGACTCCAGGATACAGTATTTCCCCCTTTTTCCTAAAATATAACTGACATTACTTGAGAGAAAGAAGCAGGGGGCTGTCGTGTTGATATTTCCATTCCAGTGTCTCTAACTTCCTGTCTCTCTACCTGAAGGACCTGCTGATGAACGACCAGGTGAAGGAGTTTGCAGCCAACGTCTACGAGACTTTCAGCGCGCCTCAGGATCTGCAGAAATAAAACCCAAGCATTAGGAAATCAACACGAAGAAAGGAGGGATGAAAACAGAAATGAATGCTGTGGACTGTTCCTCCCTCTCTCCTCCTCTCTGTGACTGACTGCACGACAGAAATGTCCAAAACAAAGCCTCAGATCGACAAGATATTGAACTCAAGGAGGATCAAAAGACTTGCAACAGGTTTTTTCTCACCTGTGATTAACCCTAGGAGTGATGCATCATGGGAATTGGAGTCCAACTTAACCTGGTAATGTGGTTGTATGTACTCTAAGAGGTAAGAAACACTCACAGAGAGAGACTGACATAATGTGGTGAAGAATTGGTCGCCACTATTTCCAACAAGATGAAACTTAAACATGAGTTTATTTGAACACAGATTTTAGGATGATTTTCTATCAGCAGTGGTGAGCGTTTCATGTTTGTTTTCATTACCAGCTGTTCAGTCTGCACTCGGCTGTGGTTCCATACTCAATTATAACTTTATCCAGGTGTTTGGGGATAAGTTATATCAAATATGTTTTTTTGGTGGTAATATTCACCGTTTTCTTAATTTGACCCTTTTTATTGTCACAGTTTGGGAAAGTCTGCAGCAGCTTTTGGTAATTTGAGATATTATTTTACATTTTAAACCATGATTATGTTGTTTTAACACAGCCAGATGCGTGGATTTATTCCAAATTAAATGTGTAATGAAAACCTAACTTAGCAGAGGTGGGCTTTTAATGATCCACGTATTATTTTTCATGAAAAGCCATTAACAAACTAATGTGTAGTCGCTGTTTAAAAGCATCCACATTAAAAGCAATACACTTCTTTTGGTGCATTCAATAAAATAGGACATGCAGACATAACATTGTTCCAAAAACACTGATCTCTGCTCAGATTTCACGATCAATCTGTGTTTTTTGCGAGAATTCAACCCATTAAAAGTCAAAAAACGTTTTAGATGCAGTTCCCTTTTCACCCAGAAGGGGTCGCTCTACTCCAGCACTTGTGAAAAAAATCTGTCTGCATTTCCCTCATGTGTCTTTATGTTAAGAACTTTATTTCGGAAAGGTTTCTCCTGTTCTAAGTTTAAATCAAATGGTTTGTATAGCCACATTGGTTTTCTATTTTTCTCACAAATATTCCTTTAAAATGAAATCCTCGTTAACAAACCTGCTTCGACCAATCATATAGGGGTAGAAAAGTGAGAGGTGGAGACACACAGGACTTCTTACACTACTTAAACGTTCTTGCTTTCTTTACTTCAACATAAATGCATTCACAGATTTGAGCAAATTTGCAACAAGGACTAGTGCAATAACTAAATCACATTAGATAAGATATGTGAAAAACTGTAGTAGTGTTGCAGAGAGGTCCTGGACTTAATGAAAAACGCTTTTTTTTTAAATACAGATGCTCGTAAAAAAAATCACACAAAGATAATTTTTATTGATGTTTCAAAAATGATAATACCGTAAAAGAATATTAGACACAATAATCGTTATTTCTTCCTCATTGTGCAGCCCTGCTTTGTCGCATTGACTTTATTTCGCCTGTTTTCAATTAATGGATGTTTTTGTTTGTGTAGTGGATGCTTCTCTTTCACCACAACTGACAACGTATGAGTCCACCATATTTTCCCATGTCATGTCGAAGCGAGATCTGTTTGTGTCGCGATGGAAATGAAGCTCCTAAAAAACACAAACCCTGACTGTTCCTCCAGCTATGATAAAGGAGCAAAGTGAAATATCTGCCAGAAACCAGTCTGTGGGAAAACCAACGACCTTCAGTCTTTATCAGATCTCTCAGTTTCCCTCTGAGGAGACGAGAAAAACATCCGGTGACTTATTTTGACAATTCCTGGATTACATAAGTGAGGAGAGAATGTACATTTCTGTAAATGTAATTAAAAACGTTATGCCTTTTGCAGCATAAATATCCTGAATGACAGAAAAATGTATGTTTGTAGAAATGTATTGAAGAGATAATAAAAGTCAAATGTGATTTAATATAAATATTGTGTTTCCTTTGTGTTTTGGGGCTTTTTAGAAAATGTTAATGCTGCTAAAAATGTATTTATTTAATCATTTTTATTGACGTAGTTTGTCCGTACAGTATGTTTTAATAAAATAAATATTTAAAAAATGTAATTAAAATGAAGAAAATAATAATAATTAAACTACTAAAATTCAAGAAAATTTAAATATATGAATAAATAATATATTAAAGGGGATTATAATATTTAAAAAAAGAAAACAATAACATTTAGAGTAACATCAAGACACTGATATACAGTCATATAGTTCTAAAATATAATAAAATAATATTATTAAAAAAAATACCACAACTAATTATTAAACTAAATCTATAAAAACAATTTAATTTATACTTAAAGAAAACAACACATTTAGAGTCCGATTAATACACTGCTGTACAGAGGGTGTTTCTCAATGTCGAGGAAGGATGCTCCAGAGCCACTATTTCAAGGATGCTACGTCATCGAGTGCCGCCGAAGGACTGTTCCAATGGATCCTTGGAATTCTACCGAGCCCGGCGTACTTCGTTGCGGGAAATTTCGAGGCTGCACATGTGTAGACTCCGCGGTCTTAAAATCCCCACAATGCTTTGCGCACGGACCAATTTCCAAATCTTTGGGGGAAATCACGCTCCATTTAAGGCAGGGCCTCGCATATGACGCACACCTGTTAGCCTGCACGCTTCCTTGGTAGGACATGTCTTCCGAGTCCGGTCCTTCAGAAGCGAGGCAAGAATCGTTCCTAGCCTCGGATTTATTACAATGTTATATAATGAAAAAGTTAAAGAAAGTAATCGAAATTTGCATTTTTACTTAAATCTGTAACAGAATAGAAAACAAATAAATGAGGTTAGTGCTATTTTGTTTACACCTTAAAAACAAAAAAAATGTGAACTAAAAGTCACCCCAAAAAAAGTCAGAACCCCTCGAAATGTCACGGTCACCTTGTGGGGACCTTCGGACGTAAGTTGGGTCCCCATATGTCACAAAAACAGACTTGAAATAGTGGCTCTGGAGGACCCTTCCTCGACATTGAGAAACACCCACAGTCATATTGTTATAAATAAATAATTGTATTGAAATATACCACAACTAATTATTAAATTATATATTACAAAATAACAATATTTATAATCAAAAAAATAAAACACATTTAGAGTAAGATTAAATAAGATTGCAAGACACTGATACACAGTACGATATATACAGTATCCTCATCCCCAAGTCAAACTATGAATATGTGGAAGTGTTTACTACCTCGTTGTGTCAACAGGGGGCGACACAGAGCAGCTGGAAAGTGTTTCATCATAGATGGCATGTTGGAAAATACTTATCTTGGAAACCGCTGTTACAGTAAAGCTGACTCAATCAGAGTGGCATCATCTCTCAATTGCTCATTAATCAATTTAAGACATTTTCCGAATTGTAACATTGGCATTTCAAAATCAAAGGGTGTGTTTTTCCACGTGAGGCAATCGGTTGTTTCCATTCTGGGTTTTTATGGAGAAGATAAAGAGATGAACGTCTGCAGCTGCCTTCAGTGGAACAACACAGACCTCTTTAAAGTCCTAAATAGACAATTTGGTAAAGATTTAAGAGATTCGTCTTGAAGGAAATACATCCCTAATGTTTTTATAGTCCAAATCAATTCAGGTCTTCAGTGACTTTCATTTAGTTTGTCACAGAAAACATATCCCACATGTTCCCCCTCTGCTCTGAATCAACAGAAATTGGATTGCGGTGAAACCTTTAAGAAGCCGTTGGTGAAAGCTCTTATCTGAACGGAGGAGCAAACAGTGAAAAAGCTGGAGGGAATATCGGCAGCTTTGAAAACAGAGACATTGTAAACAAGAGAAGTTCATCAAGTTCATTATATATGACATACATTATATTATATGTTTTAATTTGAGACATTTTACATTTTAAAATCAATTAGAAATGTGTGTGTGTGTGTGTGTGTGTGTGTGTGTGTGTGTGTGTGTGTGTGTGTGTGTGTGTGTGTGTGTGTGTGTGTGTGTGTGTGTGTGTGTGTGTGTGTGTGTGTGTGTGTGTGTGTGTGTGTGTGTGTGTGTGTGTGTGTGCAATTGGACTCATAGCGACATTCATGTTCTTCCTGGTTGAGTGTGTGACTCAAGAGATGACTTCATCTCCGTTGACCCTCTCAGACATTTTACCTTATAAGGAGCAGAGATGAAGAGGTTGTTTTTTATTGGTGGATTAAGAGGTTGAAAGAATAAAACTAAACTGGGGTATATACGATTAGAAATATATTTAAATTGTCAGATTTAGTAAGAAGTACAATTTCCTGCCTGCAAATGTAGGAAATTAAGACATATTCATATTTGAATACAAAACATATATAATAACGATTGTTTCTCTGGCAACAGTTCACTTGATTTCCTGTTAATTCATATTTTTATTTGGCTATAAACGCTTTGTCTCTTGTAGTTTTAAGTCTTGATACAAAACCAATAAATGAGGTTAGTGCTATTGTGTTTGGACGTTAAAGAGACACATTTGTTAGCTAAAAGTCACCGAAAAAAAATTCAGAACCCTTCAAAATGTCACGTTCACCTTGTGGGGACTTTTGGGCATAAGTTTGGTCCCCACATGTCACAAAAACAGACTTTTTTAGGACCCTTGTTGAAAAATACCATTCCCCAGACTCTTAAAGGTGGGGTAGGTAAGTTTGAGAAACCGGCTCGAGATACACTTTTTGTTATATTCCATGGAATGCTCTTAACATCCTGATAGCAATGAATATCTGAAGTGCTTTGACAAAAAATCCATAAAAAAATGTCATCTGTGGAAGCTGTAATACTGTAAAAAGCACGACCAATCATCTGAGCCGGCCCGGCTAAAGTAACTGGATGGCCTACCTGCCTGTCAGCCTTCCATCTGTGCACAAACTTATCTCGTGCCCTCATTGGTCATGTGCGCGTTCGTGTGTGTTGGAGGAGGGGCTCTGTAAGGAAGTGGCAGATTTTTTCAGGCTGTGTATTTTCAAATTCTAGCGCATTCGAGCCGATTTCTCCAAAATTACCTACCCCACCTTTAAGCTAAACAAAACTTCAGAGAATTGTTGTTAGATTAAATCAAGATATAATATAACTGCATTATTGACCAGCCTTTGGCGTTTAATACACTTTAAACTAAGATTTAGACACGTAACATAACGAGAAGGGGGAGAAAACAACACAATCACGTGTTGTTTTTGCATTTTACTTTAAAATCAGGAACAAAATTGAAACAAATACATGTTGAATTGTGTTTAGACCTTTGAGACACACATTTGTTCCCTACAGTAAAAGTCAAAATGTCACATTAACCTTTGAGCACTTTTGGATGTGATTGGGTATGGTCCCCACATCGTCATTTAAAGGGGACCTATCATGCAAAATGCACTTTTGTACGTCTTTTATACATGAATATGTGTCCCCGGTGTTCCAGGGAACTCACCAAGTGTCAGAAAACACAACCCTCTCTATTTTCCTCCATACCCAAATCTCTAAAAAAGGGGCTGCAACGGATCTGATAAAAACTGATCCAGATTTGAACACTGTCCTGACGTCAGGACAGTGGTGCTACGGCTATTGGGCCAACTCCACCAATCAGGAGGAGACAGCCACGGCCATTGCCGTTCGAAAGCGCTGGAGACGCTGTAGTACATATGCCAGGCCAGTAGGTGGTGCTGTTCTCACAGAATCTGCCCTTGCTAAAACAGAGCTAACATTTTTCAAATTGAGCGAAATGAGGCATGGCTAAAATGCATGATCTGTTTGGTATTTTGAAAAAGAAAAAGTATAAATGTGCCTTATATAGGTATGGTCCTACACTATATTATTCAAATATAGCATGATAGGTCCACTTTAAACAAACTCTTTTAGGACCCTTGTTGAAATAATCAATTCCCTATAGACTCAAACCTCAAAATGAACCCTCAACCCTTCACTCAATTCTCACCCTGACCTCAAATAGACCTTTGAAAAAGAAACCACTTAAAAAGTTGGTTTAAAGGTCAAAGATGGGTTAGGGTAACATTAAAACAGGGGAATGTGTTGTCTGGGGATGCAAAATGAAGGATGAAAGGAATATAAAAAGGTTAGCAAACTGTCAACATAACTATAATTTCACAGGAAGCCTAGGGGTCGAGGAATGTGAGAATCTGGTTCGGGGTATTTCCAAATATCTGCAACAAACTCCCAGAAACCTGCAGGTCCGCTGCAACTCTGACTACTTTTAAATCCAGACTGAAGACTTTTCTTTTTGCTTTTAATTGAACTATTCACATCTCACACTGCACTGTAACTTTTATTCATGTACCTGAGTTATTCATGTTTTATTATCTTTGCTTTTGAAGGTATCTGATGTGTTTTATGCTCTTAATGTCTTTCATTGCTGTAAAGCACTTTGACTTGCCTTGTGTTGAAAAGTGCTATATAGAACAACATGTCTTCACTCTTTAAACACACACACACACACACACACACACACACACACACACACACACACACACACACACACACACACACACACACACACACACACACACACACACACACACACAAAGGGCAGAGTGACGACCATGTGCATTGACTAACAGTTGTGTCCAAATGAATGGCCTTTGGGTGAGCATCATCCACACGCACACGCACACGCACGCACACGCACACGCACACACACACACACACACACACACACACACACACACACACACACACACACACACACACACACACACACACACACACACACACTCTAAATGTGTGTGTGTGTGTTGTCAGGCAGATGGTTAACAAACAGCCACATGATGAAAACTGACTTGTTCTGCAACACAGTGTGTGTGATGTGTGTAAGTTTCCTCAGAGTTTCAACACAGAGCTGCCAGTCAGCATCCTCTTGACCTCTTGACCTCTCTCTGCTGATTGTCTGATACTCCATAATGAAACGAGTGCTGACGAAATAGCTTCTTAGGTCCTG